TATGGGAAAATTTACTTCGACTTGCGACCAACTCAACTTGCGATCAGAGTCACGGAACGGAACTTAATCTCTACCACTGTATATTATAGAAACAATAAAATAACATCAGCATAAACTAAAATAGTCTGCAAAAATAGTAAAGAGACATATATATTCAGTGTTTTGTTAAATAATAGGGAGAAATTATAACTGGTAAGAAAAATAATACAAAACTAAAGGCTAAAATAAGAGAAAGAACATCAATCAATTTAAGAAACAATCCAAATGTGAGAATACTGCAATTTTGTGTGGAATGTTTCTTGGGTTTTAGCATTTCTTACTATAATAAAAATGCTGGGTACTAAGAGATATATATATATATATATATTTCTTTTTTAACAGAGGAAATGCATGCAGAACTCTGTTATGCTGAATGTTTACTGCAGAAAGCAGCCTTGACATTTGTACAGGTAATGTAGTTTGTGTATATTTTGCTAATCTGTTGGTATATAGGACTCCAAAAAATATAACATATTCTTGTTTCCTGAAAACCAAAATACTGCCTTTTTGAGGCAATACATTCATATACGTATGTATTTGTTAAGACATGGAGAAAGATTAGAATTTCAGTAGTGGAAGCAGTTTGTCCATCTACTTTTTAGAGCTGGGTATTTTGTAAAGTAGGACTCATGAATCTCAGTGATGTCATCTGGCACATTATCTTCATGATGTATATATTTTCTTGTCCATGAGATTCTTCCATTAGATATTACAGAAATTTGGAAGCCATAGGTACTGTGCGCATAATGTTCAGAAATATTTTTACCCAAATATCTTATATGCAATTATCACTCTCTGCTTGTGCGGTCTTCTCTTGCCAGTTTCTAGAGCACTAGATGTCACTGTGTTCTTTTTTAGATATTCTGATCTTATATACACTTGCATCACTTCATAGACAAACATTATCATCAATTTCTCCCTTGTTCGTTCTTGTTTTGGAACCAAGCTGCTTACCTTTCTCCTGTGCAAAGTAAGCATCATGCTACATTATAGATACAGTAATGACTCTTGCCATTCTGTTTCCTATAATGATCAATGGAAAGGCTTCTACCCATCCCATAATCATGGTTTCTAGACTTCAGTAAAACTTTTTTCTGGCCAAATCTGACTTAGCTACCATATTCATCCATATCTTGTATTTCCTTTAGGAAAAGGTGTTGGGGATTGGGTTCTGTGCATAGAGTGCTTGTAACCAACTCTACAATTGTGAATCTGAGGGAAGAAATAACATCATGATTTTGAATATAATTCCTATTTATACAGTTGATTAATATTATTCTTTCCTTGCTGGCGAACTTGGCTTTCCTACATACATAGTTATATAGAAGCTTTATAGTGGGATTAACTCCTTAGGTCTAAAGATCAGCTTGCAAGAGAGCATTCTTTATCAGATTAAATATGGCTCTAATAAAGAACTGCAATAAGGAATGAAAAACTGACAATATAATCAAGCAATAAAGTCTTGGGTAAGCTCTTCCCTTGCCTTTTACATACTGAAATATCCCATCTTGCTAAGTAGGCTGCTTGGGACTTGTTGAATCTGGCAACTTGGTAGTTACTAAAGTAATAGTGATTTGATAGGACTGGGAAATGTGTCTGGAAGCCAGAATCTTTACAATTAAGCCCTCTCTCTCTTAATCTTCGGTAAATATATGTATAAGGAGCATCCTTATAAATTGCCAGTAAACTCAGTAAAAAAATAAAATAACTGTCCATGATTATATTCTGCTGAAGCTGTTGTACAGTCCTTGTACTGATAGAATTGAAGCATGTGTCCAAAGTCAGAATCTTTATCATTAAATCTTTCTCTTTTAACAAATACATATTTAAGAATATCTTTAAAAATCAGTACAGCCTATTAAAAATAAGTAGGATTATATTTCAGTGAAGCTGTGATGTAGTTCTTGTATTATAAGAGAAGCATAATTGATATAAACTATTAAATAGTTATTGCTACTTGTGAATCATGTTGCATAGTATAGTCACCATTCATACACTAAAAATGGAATCATACAGAAAGTATAGCTTTTGAGTAAGGATAACAAATGCAAACTGCTGAAGAATTCAGTTTTTTAATCAAAAGATTCTGGAAATGCCAAGCTTTGTTGTCCATTATGTTATTTCTATAACTAATATTATAGTTCTTGTTGTTATTATCATTTACCTTTAGCTCCATCTAGTGTTATCATATGTAATTTCAACTTGTTCTATAATGTTTTTTTCTCTCGATTTATTTAATGGCATTGTCCCTTAAGAATAGCTTTCTCATTCTTATATATATATATATATATATATAT